TTAGAGGGGAAACAAGGTTTCTTTACTGTTCAAAATTCATGTTTATGGTAGGAATGGGTTTGGGGCAACAGCAATGTTTTATTGGATATTAAAGTAAAATTTTTCATATTTGAGTCCCTGTTATTTATGAAAAACACACAAAGCCTATTTTAAGAAGACTGTGATGTGATCAATATAAATGTAATTTGGTGCTCCTTTTCCTTGGTTTCAAAAGTCACAGTTGAGTAGGGATGGGAGACTTGGACCAGGGCTGTAGGAGGATCCCAAAGGAGAGCTTCCCCGATATCCTACAGCACTCCTGCCCTGATGAGAAGGGTGATACTATTAGTCTGTGTAAACCCAGGGAAAGGGAACATTTCTGGCATTTTACAGCTACTATGTCATCGAAATAGTTTGTACATTTGTGACTGGGAGTTGGCTGCTCTGTAAACCCCTTACAATTTGGGTCCACTGAGGAGGCAGAAAGATTGCATAGCAACTCAGAATCAAGAAACAGTCATTGGGTATTGTAAGTTGGAAATAACTGTCTATCATTACCAGAAAATGGCTGTCTATCATCTCTTCTAGGTCAAAATGCAGGAAGTTGAAAACTCTATGGATAAAAGCCTCACACTAAATGAAACTTGAATGGAGTCATATAATTAATTTGATCTAGAAGTTTAAACACCTTGAATGAAAAATTTTTTTAATTAAATTCTTTTATTGGTACATTGTAGGTATACAACACAATTACATTTCTCACTGGGAATTGTACCTTTACATGATGCATCTTGGTTCTTATTTTTTCCCCATTCCAGCCCTCCTTTCACGCCCTCCACCCTTCCCTATTTACAAAGACTTTATTTCCATTTTTTCCATTTCTCATCATTTTTCCTTTCTCTTCTTTCCTTTCCCCTGCCTGTCCCACTACCCCTACCCCTTTGGACCTTTTCTTCCTATTTTGCATTATCCATTATTCATTCTAATCACTGGTACATTTTAGGTATACAATATAATGACATTCATCATTGGAAATTTGCGCCTTTACATAGTCTCTCTTGGTTCTTATTTTTCACCCTTGCCCAGCCCTCCCTTCAACCCCTCCAGTCCTCCCTATTTACAAAGATTTTGTTCCTATTTTTCCATTTTCTCATATTAATCCCATTCCCTTCTATCTTTTCCCCTAGCCCTCCCACTCCCTTCCCCTTTGCCCCTTTTCTTCCTATTTCACATTACCTATTATACATTTAGTCCTTATTTACACTTACAGTTTCTCACACCAGAGAAACTATTTGGTATTTATACATGTGTGTCCTATTTATTTCACTTAAGAGTATCGCCTCAATGTGCATCCACTTAGCTATAAATGAAAGACCTCTTCTCTGAAAACTATGGCACTCTGAAAACAGAGATTGAAGATGTTATCAGAAAATGGACAGACATCCCCTGCTCCTGGGTAGGAAGGATTAATATAGTGAAACTGGCCATACTTCCAAAACTGCTATATAGATTTAATGCAATTCCAATTGAGATCCCAGCAGCATACTTCATGGAACTTGAGAAAACAATCCAAAAATTCATTTGGAACAAGAAGAGACCCAGAACAGCAGAAGCAATTCTAGGTAACAGAGACATGCCAGGGGGTATCACAATCCCCAACCTGCAACTCTACTACAAAGCTACTGTGATAAAAACAGCATGGTACTGGCAAAGAAACAGACTTGAGGACCAGTGGAACAGATTAGAAGATGCAGAAACAACGCCAGACACACTCAGCCATCTCATCTTCGATAAAAGAGCCAAACACCCTCACTGGAGGAAAGATAGCCTCTTTAATAAATGGTGCTGGAAAAATTGGGTTTCAACTTGCCAAAGACTAAAACTAGACCTATATCTCTCACTGTGCACTAAACTAAAATCTAAATGGATTAAAGATCTAAATATTAAAACAGAAATGCTGAACCTGCTGGAACAGAGGTTAGGTAGAACTCTTCAAGACATTGGTGTAGGAAAAGACTTTATGAAGAAAACCTCAGTTGCCCGTGAACTAGCACAAACAATCAACAAGTGGGTTCTCTTCTTATTAAAAGGCTTCTGCCCAGCAAGAGAAACCACCAGCAGTGTGAAGAGACAACCCACAATGTGGGAAAAAATCTTCACCTACTCTTCCTCAGACAAAGGTCTACTATCTCGAATCTATAAAGAACTTAAAAAGATCAGACCTCCCAAATTGAAAGACCCAATCCAAAAATGGGCATCTGAAATGAACAGACATTTCTCAGACAAAGAAGTAGAAATAGCAAATAAATACATGAAAAAATGTTGAATGAAAATTTTTAAACACACTAATTTACAATGGATTTGGATTATACTTCTTCATGTAAATGATAATACCTGACACAGATTACCGATCATGAATTCCAAGTTAATGCTAGTCCAATCAACTAAGTTTTAACTAGAGCTGAAAGGGCTTTGGGGAAATAATAAAAATAGAAAACTTTGTTTGAAACAATTTGTTGATTTTGAGGATAACCATAACATTCTGTCCCTAGCTCCTACAAACCTCATTTTCATCTCCTCATGCAAGGTGCATTTAGTCCATCTCCAAGAGTTCCCGGAGTCTAAACATATTTCCAACATTACTCAAAAGTCCAAGTCCAAAGTCTCCTCTGTAACTCAAGGCAACTCTTAGCTGTGAATCTCTATAGAATTGAAAAAGATAGTTACATATTCCTAATACACATTAGCGTAGAATAAACATTCTCTTTCCTAATGAGAGGAATGGGGGAATAGAATGGAACTGAACCAAAGCAAGACTCAAATCAGAGAGGCAAAATTAAATCCTGTAGCTCCATGTCCAGCATCTGGGAAATGTAGTGACATGGTGTGAACTCCAAGGGCTTGGGAAGCTCTACCCATATGGTTTGCTGGTTGCAGCCTGCATAGTTGCAGCCTGTGCTGGCTTTGCTTCCTGTCTTGTGGATTTCCTCAGTAGACAGTGTGTTTCTAGCATCACTTCCGCTACTGCTTTGGCTTCACTCTCACAGCTTTATGCATTACCATCTCAGGGGCTGTGTGTAGGGATTCTAACCTGCACACATTGCCTAGTTTCCCAGGCCTTCCTTTCAAATCTCAGTGAAAGCTTCCACAACTCATGTTCTGCATGCCTGCAAAACCAGTATTACATGAACCACACTAAGGTTTGTTGCCAGCTTAAGCAGTAGCCAAGTCCACTTGGATCATGGCTGCAGCAGCTTCTGAGTGCCTAGATGGCTGAACACAGTAAAAATGAATCCTGAGGGGAACAACTTCCTACTGGCCCTGTACCAGCAGAGTGCTCCAGTGCTCTCTTTACAAAACAAAATCTTTCAAATGAGTATACTTTTGCACTTCTGAGCCTGCAATGAGTAGGTCTGGACTGTACTTGACATGCTCTCAAGACATCTTTCCTATTGTCCTGGTGCAAAGTACTTGAATTCTTTTTAATCGCACTAATTTTTTCAGCGAACATACCTTCTTTGGGCCCAACTTTTCAGGCACTTCTTTTCTGGTCAAACTAAATTTTCCACATCTTCCTTCTCTACTTTGTGTTCTCAATTCTCATTGAAAACCTAGCTAAAAGCAGCCAGCAATACCTATGCCTATGCCTGAATACTGGGCTACCTTGAAATTTTCTTTTCCAGATCAATTAGTCTGTTGCCTTAAAACTCATCCTCATACAAGATCTTAGGGAATTGACCCTATGTAGAAAAATTATTTGCCAAATGTAACATGAATGGCCTCTAGCTCAATTCCACTAGAATTCTTGCTTCTATCTGAAGCCTCACATGGACAGACTTTACTGTCCACATTCTAATCAATATTCCAGTCTTCTGAGTTCACATTAGAATCATCATCTGTTAAGCTGAACTTACAACGTTCTGGGGTTTCTCTAGTTTGCATCTTCAAATATTTCCAAATTCCTTCCAAAAACCAGTTCCAAAGGCTCTGGGACTATGTGATCAGGAGTAGTCACAGCAAGGACTCTACTTCTTGGTTCTAAGCTTGGTAAGCTTTTCAATGCTGTGACAAAACACCTGAGATAAACAACTTAAAGAAGAAAACAACAATTTGGCCTATAGTTTCAGAAGTTTCTTGGCTCCATTCCTTTAGGCCTGTGCTGAGGCAGAAACATCTTGGTGGAAGGGTGTGGCTGAGGAAATCTGCTCACAGAGAAAGAGCATGAGAGAAAAAGGCAAAAGACCAGATATTATCCTCAAGATCATTCCCCTTAATCCACTCCTTTCAACTAGGCCTCGCCTCTTGCTTCCGTCACCTCCCAATAATTTCATCAAATTATCATCTTATCAGTGGGTTAATCTACCTGACGAAGTTGGAGCCTTCACAATTCAATGAGTTCCTCAAAAGCTCATCCCCTGGCAACCAGGCCTTTAACACATGAGTATGGGGGAACCTTTCAAATCCAAGTCATAACACAGCTGAGATATTTATCCTGTATATCATGTGTAGAGCCCAATCCAACACCAGCACCTGAACCCTCTGCAAGGTAGGCCCAACTAGGGTCACTGCAGTGATGGTTCCTATTCCACACTCCCAATCTCACTGCTTTTAGATCTAGAGCCATGAAAGAAAACTGAGATCAGAGTGAAAAATGGATTAAACACAGGCTCAGAGAATACAAATTGAAAACCTTTCATAAGCTAGCCAGCCTCAGGCTGAATAGAGACTTCTAGACCCCTGAGAAATTTCCTGGTAGAAATCACTAAAGCCTGTGGCATACTTCTATTTGTGGGCAAATCTGTGTTTCCTGAGTCTCACTAAGTATATTTTTCTAAGCTTAATTCTTTTTCTTACAGCCAACATGCTAGACTCTGGTAAATCTGTTCAAGCATTCTAACTTGTTCTAAAATTATAAGCCGGATCTACACTGTTTTAAAAACCTCACACTGACTTCACACACCCTATGCTCCTTATGCGTCAGAAACAAGGCAGTTGTTTCCTGGTCTCCTTAGCTGCTTTACCTGAGCTGGTGGAGGCAGGAGATTTGCTGCGCCGGGAAGGTCCTGGGCTCTTGGTGGTGCTCCTGCGGGATGATGAAGCTATTTTGGTGTAAGAAGTAGATTTCACCACTCGACATTCTGGGGAGAGAACAATGACACATCAGAATTGGGTTACAGCAAACAAGCCATCTCAAAATACATAACAACCTGGCTATAGAAACATACCACCATCTGCAGTCACACCTGTGTCCTGCCATTTTAATTCTTGGCTATGACAATGGAGCCAGGAAACAATGCCTCTATGCAGAGTGCATCGCTGGACATCAAAGTCAAAGATACCCTAAGCCTCCAAGTTTACCAGATTTCTTACCCTTACAACATGGATTTATTTGACTACTTCCTTAGAATAGATCTAGTCCTTGGCACTCAGAATTTAATTTCTAGTAACAAGAAATGAAGGGCACATTGTAGATGCTCAAAAAATTTGCTGAATGAAGTGGGTTTGGCGGGTTGCAAGAGAAGCACTTCTTAAAAGCTCCTGACAAACTGCAACCCCCTCCAGAATGTCTGACACAAATTTCACTAGAGCTAGAATAGGCATTTACTTGACCCTTTGCTAAGTTTAGGTTTTATTTTTTCAAACAATTTTTCAAATTTCCGAACAAATATTAAACTTCATTGCTCAAAATCTGAATCAGCTTGATTGACAATATTGTATGTTTCCCCACATCCATTTGTATTTCTTCTTTTGCAATTACTTATTTATATACCTTTCTCTTCTGCAACTGGGATGATCTTTTTCTCATTGTAAGAGTATATTCTATATTAAAAGTCTATCAAGGGGCTGGGAATTTAGCTCAGAGGTTCTACCGACTGCCTTGCAAGCACAAGGTCCCAAGTTTGATCACTAGTTCAAAAAAAAAAAGTCTATCATGTTAAAGTCTATACTATAACATATATGTTTATTTTGTATATACTATATATACTATATATGTATATATGTTTATACTATATATAGTTTATATTACATGTAGTCTGTACTATAACATATCTATCATGTTATAAATATTTCTATTTACAGTGGTTGTTAAAATGTTAGCCTTTTAAAAGTAGTATTCTTTTTAAATATAATAGTTTAAAATTAAAGTGTAATTTATTAATGTTTTCATTGTGCATTTTTAAACCATTTTATACTTTAATAACAAGTAACTCCTACAACTGAACATCTAATGCTAATGTCTTGCTTTACCTTTGAATTTCTTTTTCCCTATCAATACAGTTCTAATTTTGTAAGTTCAAAGCATGTTCCTTTCCCTTATCCACTCTGGATGAATAAAGTAGTTCATATTATTAGTAAAAAGAAATGAAGTGCATATAAAATAAAGATGTTACAAGACTTGAAATACAAAATAGGGCATAGTGAAGAGACTCATGAACTGAACTGGGGAAAAAGAAAAGATTTCATGAAGGTGGGTGACAAGGAGAAGGAGGGAAATTGTTCCTTGAGATATTAGTATGTGTGACTTCCTCTGCCTTTTTTCCATAGTCAGAAACAGAAAGGAATCAGGGTACACTGCACTTGCTGTGTTTTTCCCAGAAGTTACTTGGGGCCCTGCTGGCTGCTTTGGCTACCCAGGTGGTCCTGTAGGACATTTCATTTTTTAAGAGAAGGGAAAAAAGTTATACATATGGGCATAATTGTAAAAATTAGAAGATATGAATAACCAAGAAATGGGATTAATAATATAGAAGATATTATCAGGAACATCAAGACCATTCACATGGGATAATAATGTTCAGGATGCGTCCATAGAGATTTTAATTCACACAGCCAAGTTTTGGACTGTGTGAAGAAGACCTCACATAGCTCAGGACTTGGTGTACTGGGAAATGATAATACACCCTGGATTTGGACATCTGCAGCATATTAACAGCCAAACTGCATTGGCATAATGTGGCCAGTCCACGGGCATGCTTCCAGCTACATGTTTAGCAAGTGCCCACTATGTGCTAGGCACCAAGAGTGACAGGTGAGATATAGAACAAACAATACAAATTTGGAATATGAAATTCTGGCCACCTGGTAGTGGTGCATAGATTTTTTTTTTTTTCCAAGCAAGGCTTGTTACTAAATTTTATTTCATAAAACACTGAAAAACGTTGGTTAGTGCAACAGGTTGCTCATAAATAATAGCACATGCAATCACACTAATCAAAATCAAGACTATAAATGAGGACAGAATGACCAGGAGTATTTGTCTCAGGTCATGAACATTTAGAGGTCACATAAATTTAAAGCAATAATTTAAAAAGCTCAGCATCTAGCTAGCAGGAATGAATAGTTAAAATAGAAAGTTACCAGATGGTGCACATTGTTAATAACAGCCATTTTCAAGCTGTAATATGTATTAAAAAGTTGATTTTAGGGTTTGTCACAGGTGCCAGAACTGCTGGCTATGGTTCTAACTACCAACCAGGGCTCTAGACCAGAATAACAGAACCAATCTTGCCACAGTAAGCTGATGTTTTTCTAGTTACCAGAAAGATACTAGTTACTTCAGCCAGGCACCTCAGTTTTAGTAGAGCAAGCAAATCCATGAGATTTCTGAAGTATTGAAAAGAGCCTGTGAGCTCATGTCATGATCCTGTTGCTTCCGTTGCTTTTTTTGAAAGCAGTTATCTGCATATTATAATTCAATCAAAATTATTTATTTATTCCTCTATCTTTCTGTCTCCTTTCTACATTGGATATTATCCAGTGCCTGACATACTAACAAGATGTAACAGCTGCTCAAAAATAATAATATTGGTGCTGGTACTACTTCTGTGAACTCTTAGTATTCACTGGACTAATCTAAACTTTCACTTTAGAAATGAGGAAACTGAGTCTTAGAAAGGTTAAATGACTTGAATCAGAACCTAAGCCTCTTTGGTTGGTGACTTTCTCACCACTGCAGTATCTGACACTGTGGCTCACACATCTTGAGAAATGTGTACAGGGTGACGATGGAGGTGGAAAGGTGGTGAGCAACCAGTTTTCATATTAGCATTAAATTAAGAGTTCAAGATACTAAAGCTAACTTTCTTTCAAGTTGTCTATTATATTTTTAAAAAAGAAATAATAAACTCTTTCAAAAGTGGAGTTATAATAAAGTAATAACGCGGGGGACCATAGAGTCTGAAAGATAATTACAGACCTTGTGCCATTTACTTTCAGGGTAAGAGTAGGCTTCATGAGTCCTACTGGGGGTTAGTATAATTCTGAAAGGCTTGTGCTGAACAGCAGAAATAGAAACAACACAAAATTGCAGTCACTTCCCTGTACCCCTGGTCAAAATAAACCCAGTTAAAGACTACTGCAGTGCCAACACACAAATTAGAGAAAAAATACAGCTCCAACCATCTTTCCAATTAAAGTTTGGATTTTAAATATTTTAATTAATTTAAAGAAGAATTGTATTTTATAATGGTGAAAAATGCAGTGAGAAAAAAATGCTAAGAGAGAATACCAAAATTAAAATTTTAAAAAAATTTTATTAATTTTATTGGTACATTTCAGTTATACAATATAATGACATTCATCATTGGAAATTTGCACTTTTACATAATCTCTCTTGGTTCTTATTTTTCCCCCTTCCCCTGCCCTCCCTTCAACCCCTCCATCCCTCCCTATTTACAAAGACTTTGTTTCCATTCATTTTCTCATATTAATTCCATTCCCTTCTTTCCTTTTCCCTACCCCTCCCACTTCCCCTTCCCCTTTGCCCCTTTTCTTCCTATTTCACATTATCTATGATACCTTTTAGTCCTTATTTACACTTTCAGTTTCTCACACTAGAGAAACTATTCAGTGAGAATACCAAAATTATTGTCAGCTTTAAAGCCACAAGTTAGAAACATTGCGAACAATATGACCTAAATGGCCAGTAAATAGAAAGTTTTTTTGTTCTCACAAAGGACATTTTCACTATATCTGGTGAAAGTGAAAGTGTCACCTCTTATGTTGGGGTGCTTGCCTTGGGGACAATAATGTTTTCATTTTGATCATTTTTGGCACCCTTAAATTTTATTGACCAATTTTCTGAGAGGGTTTCATTTCCTTAGGCTGTGGAGATACTGGACAATGTAGATACTCCTTTAAGCAAGAGGACACTGGAGAACTGTACTGAGTCACTTGGAGGAAGCTGCAGTGCTGGGAGTGATGGATGTGCTGCAGATCACTTGGCCTAACTTGCCTCCTCCCTCCGAGGGCTTGGTGGAGCAAGGCCTGGCCTAGAAGAGGACTATCTTCCTTCCCACCCATTCACCAGAGAACCATCAAGCATGATGTCCTGCAGACCTTAGCCATTCTCTCTGTTCCAATCAGACATCCCCTTTCCGTTTCCTTATCTGCACTATAAGTAAAGGTGCTGAGGATATAAGCCAAGCTTTTTGTCTCATCAAGACAGTTTCCAACTGGCCTCAGCTATGTAAACTTTTCTGTCCTCTTTGTCTTCTTTGTCTTATTCTTTAAGTGTCTTAATCTCTCACTGTCGTTTTTCACTCCATCATCCCTTCAGCCATGAGGGCCATGGCACTGCTGGACTTGTTACCAAAGACTGCAGCATACCCTAAGTACACTTATCCCTTGGTAGCCCCAGGGAACTGGCTCCAGGACCCCCATACATAGCAAAATCTGTGGATGATTCTGTCCCTTATATGAAACAGCATACAATCCTCTTGTATACTTTAACTATCTCTAGATTACACCTAATACCTAATAAACTGCAAAGTCTGTTCAAATAGTTGTTTTATAGTTCGGTGAACAGTGATGAGGAAAAAAGTCTGTATATGATTAATATAGATGCAACTTTTTTTCTGAACATTTTCCATGCACACTTGGTTGAATCTTATCCTTGGTTGATTGTTAGAACCAGTGAATGTGGAAGGCTGACTGTATATGGATATAGTATAGTTGAATGTCCACGTGTTAAAGCGTTGGTGCCCAGGGTGGTGCTGTTGAGAGGTGGTGCAGTTTTTGAGAGATGAGGCTTAGCAGGAAGTCATTAGGTCATTGTGTCCTTCAGGGAAATTGTGGAACTCTGGTCCTGTCCTCTGTCTCTTCTTCCTAGCTTAAGATGTAATGTTTCCTCTGCCAC